TGTGTGTGTATGTGTGTGTATGCCTCTTGGCCTTATATGGTGAATCTCCCTTATTTCCTGCTCTCAGACCCTTGAGTATGTATATGTTGTTCTGTAGATAAGTACAGGTGGACTCACTGACCCATTTATACAAGTGCATGTTTTTTCAAAGCATACCTGTACCAGCTACAGTATCACGTGTGTGTGTGTGTGTGTTTGTGTGTTAGACAGTGAGAGGATTACTGTACACTGCTGTGAGATAGAGAGAAATATAAAACAGATGGGCAGAGAGGGGAGATCTACATAGTGGTGGGAAGTAACTAAACTTATCTGCTCAAGTACTGAGGTCCACATTTCATTCTGATGTAAATCTTTAAAAACTGGTCACCAATATATTTTAGCTTGAATTTATGTTTTTTTTTTTAAAGGCTCAAAAATTTCCTAAAACAGCTGGGCATTGTAGTTTTACCAAACATCACTCAAGAAAACAGTGTATTTGTTGGGGAGTATTTTAAGTTAAATAAAAAAAATATATAAAAAAATATACAATAATACATATCTTTTAAATTTGGGTGCAATGGCGTGTAACTTTAACTGAATATAAACTGCAAATTTTGTCATGTCTGAATTGTGTTAAATGTGTTAAAATGTGTTTGGCAATATGTGTGTTCTTTTATTTCAGATCAGTGTCAGTTAAGTTTTAATATACAGTAATAATTAGAACATTTATGTTACACTGACAAGCCACCTCTGTGAATACTGCGCTATGTATTACTTTGTACAATAGATCCTATCTTACACTTATCAAATATGATGTCAGCGCTGTATAGCTCTAAATCTTCACACTCACTAATCCCATTGTATCCCATAAAGCTGCTTTGATACTAACAGATACTTACATGTGTGTCGAGTCAGGGAAAACACTCCAGGCCCTGTAATTTTGGGGCCAAACCCACGGCGGATGACATAGCAAGTTATAATGAATGTTTGTGGCCCTGGGCCAGTGTGTAAGTGTGTATGTGTGTGTTTATGCACGTAGGAGTACAATTTGAGAAGCCAGGTGGGTGTGTCTTAACATAGCCCATTTCTTTGTCATATTGTTATTCTAAAGCCAGACTGTCCTTAAGAATATGCTGTATGACTGGGGCTTTAAAGTGCAGTTATCCACACAGGGGGGCCAAACATGTATTCTTAAGTTCAAAAGCTGACTCAAGTATGCCTGTTGGTGGGGGGTCTTGTCACTGCATTGGCAGAGACAGTGATTTGGACTCCAGTCGACGAAGAAGTAGATTGGGACCAGAAATCCCTGGGGAGAGAGAGAGAGAGAGAGAGGGAGAGAGAGAGACACGAGGTCAGGTAAGAGGGCTATAAAAGCACTCCTTCCTTTACTGCAATATGCACCTAATGTAAATCTGAAGATTTGGGATGCACAGCAGTCCACTTCTGTCTGTAAGTCATTTAACTTCAAAATGTGTGAACAAGTATGCTGAGGTAAGTGCATTATATTAATTGACATGATCTACTAAATCTTTTTGACAAGACATATTTTGTACATGTACTTTACTGTACTGTATACCATGTATTCTTAATGCATGTTTAAATCAAGTTGACTGGACCACGAAAAACATAACCACACATACATTTTCTGTTATATGACTGATCTGAAAGACACATTTTACATAACCTTTGCTTGACTAAAATGTAGCATAAGTATTTATTCCATTCTGCTCCTAATAGCCTGTAACAGTTCAAATTTCTTGCTATTTTTCCCCTCATGTAAGCAGGGGAACTCTGTGAAGAAGGCAGAGCGCAAGTCAGAAAGATGTGGAAGTTTCAGAAAAGTGTTGGCTGCTTATTCCTTCTCTGCTGCATCTGCTTGACTAAGTGTCGGGTGCTGAAGTTTGTTGTAGCTGTAAGTCTACCCACTCTGTGTACATAATGACATTTAAACATAGTTTTGCGATTTTATGTTAAGCTGCAACAGTGTAATCTATGTACAACGTCATTGACAAGATTTATTTGTTGAGTGCTAGAATTTTAACATCATCTGGAAGCCACTTGAGATCACATAAGAGTGACATTACTGTGCATTGTTGCTGATTACTCTGCATTTTTCTGCTCACTGAGCATTATTATATTTACACATTCATGTCACAAAGGATTACTTTGAGCCTAAACTCCAACAGTGTGAAGCGTATCTCTCCCAGACACTGCTGCTTTGTTCATAAACCTCTTTGCATATCTTTCTTTCACACCATAGTTCAATAATACAATAAAAACTGCAATTGCAGCATTTTTTCCCCTATAATATGATTTTTTTTTTACTTTATTTTTATTTTGTTTATCTTGTAGGTATTTAAACTGTGACCTCTTATATTACAACTTTTCTTTTTCTTTTTTCTCTCTAACAAATTATTTACAATCTGTAATAATATGTCTGTTGTCTGTTTACATTTTTACATTTGTTAAAGTAAGAGTTAGCTTTCTACCAATTCAATTTTTATTGGTTACTGCCTCACCTGTGTTTTTCTTATATATGTTAATTTAGTTTAATTCAGTCTTTAAGTAGATATAGCATAGTTATCTGTCCATAATTTGTTGCTTATTACTAAACTAAATTTTAGGTCAGGTTTAGTTCAATCATTGGTGTATTGCATGAAAAAAAGACAATGAGTATTACATATATAAAGCAAACCATGACTTTGTTGACTTGACTTCGGTTTGCTTTTTCTTGAGGTTTTACAGGAGTGAATCACATGCATCCATAATCCAATTTAATCAACCTGTGTGTCATGTCACTGCTCAAAACGTGAGTCCTCTAGTAATAATACTGACGGAGCAGCTCCAGCATTTGTGTCTAGATGGCATCATCAAAATGACTCCTCTGTGTCTCAAATGCAGACTGAACTGTCCAAGATCACAGGTTTCTATTTCTGACTTCTGTCTCAGGGTGGATTTGTCCCTTAAGTACACAATGTCATGGCTGGCACAGCAGCATGGCGTCTGAATCCATGTGACATAATCTGTTATGACTTTTAAGGTGTTCCGACATGGTGATCGATCGCCAATTGAGTCGTATCCCAGAGATCCTCATGGGGAGGAAGTGTGGGCCCAGGGCTTCGGACAGCTGACTGAGGTACTGTGTGTGAGGTGTGGGTGGGTGTGTGGATATATATAGTATATAAAATATGTCCTATTTTATAATCTATCCATTTTCTGGCTAGAGTATGGCAGACCTGAGGTACAAAACACAATAACAAAATTGTTATTCAAAATAGAATAACAAAATAGCAAACACAACATTGTAAAGAAAACACAACAACAAAGGTGAAAACACAGTACCTTTTATGTTGTTGTGTTTTTTTGTGCACCTCAGGGCCACTGTACTTGAGCCTATCCCCGCATGAATTGTGGTGACACCCTAAACTCATTCAGTCTAAAAAATGTAAAATGAAAAAAAGGAATTCATATAAAATTACAATAGTACAATGAAGACGTCCTTATGTATCTCTATACAGGCCTGAATGTAGTTGCTTATAAATTACAGTTTATTTCACGTACGATTTGCATAAAATCAGTTTCAAACTTAAGTCTTAAGATGGAAGAAAAGCTTGTTGTAGACTTTTAATGAAATTCCTTCCCACTGTGGCATTGTTCTGTTCTCAGGCAATTAGCCAGTTTACAGTGAATTAACTTATTATTTATGGCCCTGTAAAAGGGGTGAATTTGTTATTTTATGTAAATATGTTGAATTTGAGGTTAAATCTGTCAAATCTTCCGCAAAAGGTCAGATTTGACAAAAATATAATTATGCTGGCAATTTTCCTTTCAGCTGGGCATGAAACAACAGTTTGAGCTGGGCAGGTTTCTAAGGAGGCGTTATGGAAACTTTCTCAGTGAAGACTACGACAACAAAGAGGTCTGTGTATTTGTGTATGCATATAAGTATGTGTCCCCTTTTGTCCCCTGGTCTCAGTTAGCTAATGTCCCCACTTGAGCCTGTGTGCAGTGTTACCTAATGCTGACTCGTGTCCTCACTTCAACATGCAATCATGCTCATGTGTGGCCAGCCACCATATGTAATGGTTGTAACAACATACACTAAGTTAATGAGCCTGACTCATATTGGTGATATCACCGCCATGGCCTTGTAATAAGCTGTAACATGTGGGTCTTGGCCCCGGGCTCCATGTACAGTACATTTCCCAGCATGCATGTTGGTTCAGTGAGCCCCTGGGCTGCATGCTCAGCATACTGTCATTATTTCCTTATCCTGCCTCTGTTTTTCTTTACACTCACTTCCTTTTTTTCTCTCTTTCTCTCTTTCTTACCCCCTCCCCTCTGCCTCTCCACCCTTGCGTTCAGTCCTCTCTTAAATAACACACAATTACCACAAAAATAGCAACTCTCGTCAGTACCCGTCATTGATGATTTCTTGCCTAAGTCTCAGTCAACTTGCACCGTACCTTTCCCTGTGCTGCCATGTCTGTTTTAATTTGACAAATATGGGGGGGGGGACATCCAACCTTATCAGCGTGATTTACTGTGTGCAAAAACCTGACACAGGGTGACAGAGAGATATAGACGAGCGAAGGCTGATGTCAGAAGAGATCACAGTGAGAAGGATCTTTTTCCCTCCCTCCTCTTCATGTTAAGGGAATACTTCAATTGGCTTGGAATAAACGCAACTCACTCATGATACACTGCTGCTTTCTCGGGTGCATTTATTTTACATCTTTATTAAATAAAAATAGAAACATTTAAGTACCTGCATTTCCATTTGCAAATGCAATTCTTTCCAAGTGCATTTCCACTTTGTATAAAAAGCAAACTAATTCTGAGTGTCCCATTTGGAAGAAGTAGACAGTGGTATCAGTGACAGGCCTTACCAACATATGCATGCATTTTATTACCATGTCCCCTACAGCTATACGTGCGGAGCACTGACTACGACCGCACTCTGATGAGTGCCCAGGCCTGCCTAGCTGGGATGTTCCCTCCAAACAGACGCCCAGCTCCCATCATGCCCCAGTTACTGTGGCGGCCTATTCCAGTGCACACCATCCCCAGGGCCCAAGACAAGGTGGGCTGCTGAGGCACATAAATATTTTTTTTCACACAGCAGCCATAAACAGCTGAATAGAAACTTGTACAAGTTAATTTGAGTCTCTCTCTGTAGCCCAATGTTGCTGTCTTTTTTCACCTCAGCTGTGAACCCAGTGTACTGAAATTCCCTACTGTTTTAAAGTGTGAAATGAACATATAATTGTGCCCAGAAGACTTGCACTACCTGCAGTAAATGCGCATTATTTCCACTGATGTTGTGCTGTTGTTTTCGATTTCTCAAGCTGTTGAAGTCTCCAGGCAAAGACTGTCCAAGGTTCAGAGCGCTGATGACGGAGACCTTTGAGAGCCAGCCCTACCAGAGGTTCCTCAGGGCTCACCAGGTAAGAAAAACTACAGAGGAAGACAGTCTTCTAAATACTCTGTATAACTCAGCATCAGCTCAATGACGTGAACGTTCTACTCACAGCTCAGTTTGTGTTAAACATCACTTTTCCATGCTATGAGTCATGTGCCTGTTAACCACTAAAAACTAGTTTGTAACTGTGTTATTTTTTACCATTAGAATTATATCATCAAAATAGCTGTGAATAATACTCTTCCTCACCTCAGTTGTTTCTTTTCTGCTTATCTATGCCATGATTTGTAAATAACAATAACAAATACTGTGAAATGCACATTTCAGTGCAGAGTGAAATATATACTTCACAGTTGCTGGTGCCAACGTTATTAGCACCTCCAGTGGACGTGTTAGTTATGCTGTAGACATCATGTCCTCTCAGTGATTTTCTCAAGCACGGTGACTCCAGTGCCTAGAAAAAGCTGCACAGTGCAATTTCTCTCACATTCTCAGAGACACTAATTAACAGTTGGATTGAATTAGATTAAGAATTACAATGAAAATGTTTTAATTAAACTGAGTCCCATGTGCTGCCTATTAAGGTGGTGTTTGAGATGAGGACAGGGCCTCCTGCATTGAATTTTAACACCCTCTGCTGGATACACAGTACCTGCAAGTTGGACACCAAAAGAAGAACCAAAATGGTGCCATTTTTCATGGCAAAGATTGAATTCACAACAATCCCTGAATCAGTATAAATTCTAATCCATAAACTTACCAAATAATGTCTGAAATTTTGAGTTCTAAAAACTGAAACCAATGAGGAGTTATTTTATTGGTGGATGCGTAAAAACAAACAAAAAATCAATTAAGTGTTAATTTTCTTTGAATAGTAACACTGAGAATGATGTGTTGAAATAATTAATAAGTAACTAATGAAAAATCAGAAGTACAATTTTGAGATATTTTCCATTTTCTGGTACACCTATACCCAAGTACATTTTAGTCCACTATATTTATTTGACAGCTAGACATTTACATAAAAGATTATACGCTTATGCTTAATTAAATATGAAAGTAGTGGTTTTTAACCTTTTTGGTTTATGACAGCTTACAAAAAAGAGTGTTGTAGACTGGACTAAACTACCAAACTGTTTAAAAAGTAGTTAAAGCTAGCTCCACCTTGACCATCTTCAACACTAAAATGCTACAGTATTTGTGCATTTTATTTATACATTTTTCAGAATTTTTTCATTTAAGTTCATTTAGCTCATTCTGTACAGTATGATTATGAATGCAGAACTTTTTCTTGTAATGGAGTTTTTATTTTTTGATGATTGTGCCGATACTTGTACATGAGTAAAGGACCCGAATATTTTTCGCACCACTGGTTGAATGTAATGCTCTAACTCTTTTCTTGCAGTACTTTGTGGAGGGTCTTTCCAACCACACTGGCTACCCCATCTCCAAACTGGTTGGGAAAAAAATATGGAGGGTCTACGACACTCTTACCTGTCAGGTATTTCTGATATTTCCAAGCAACCACATGGACATACACATAAACGCAATGTAGCCTGTACACTACCTGTATTCTCCAGTTTACAAACGCCTCAATTAAAAACACCAGCTGCAGTGAAGTGAGGGAGATGAGAAGGGATCTGTTTTCTTCAGCACATCTGCAGAGACATAGTTAGGGGGGCTGGAGCGTGGGGAAATTATTTTTATACATACAGTAAGACATGAATAGGAAAACATATTGAAATGATAATTAAACCATTATGAGATGGGTGGATTCTAGGCCAGGTTGAATACGCTCATTCACACTTGCAAAATGAGCATCTGTTATCTTCAGACCAGAGCTAAAAATATCCGGGATAATAGAGACGATGAAATACAGCCATTTAAACCTCTTTTGTTGCGATTTATGTGTTGTATAATGTGATTATTGGCGTGATGCGGGATAATGAATGTTATTTTCTTGTGCAGAGGATCCATAACTTGACTCTCCCACGCTGGGCCACCCAAGATGTTCTGGACACCCTGAGGAGAGTAGCATCATTTGAGGTCATGTACAGCATCCTCAGTCACAAGCGAAAAGAGAAGGCCAGGCTCTCGGGAGGTGAGGATTCACATTAGAGGCAATTAATTTAAAGCACTGTTCACAGAAAAATGTTATTAGAGTGGAAAAGCTCAGTGTATCTAATGTTGTGACTGCTGGCAGAGGCTTTGTTTATGCCTCAGTGTAAAGTGCTGGATCGGGTTTCCCAAAAGCATATTAGCACATATGAGCTAATGGGACAAAGACGATTACAGCGCTGAGACAAGATACTCAATAAGGTCAAACGGATTGTGTTGGTGTCTGGGAAAATTTCATTTGCACCGTTGACACTGATGTGTTAATTTACCAGGGGTCCTACTGAATGCCATCCTGAGGAATTTCTCCAGGGCTGTAGAGCAAGGGAGCACTCTCAAATTCATTATGTACTCAGCTGTGAGTTTAACATTTGGGCACATACACACATTTGTAATCTATTGTGCAAACTGCTGTTTCACATCTCCTCACCTCCTTGTATATGATTTGCTGTGATGTTTATTCCTCATTCCAGCATGACTCCACACTCATCACCCTCCAGGCGGCTCTGAACGTGTACAACGGCCTTCTTCCTCCTTACTCCGCCTGTCAGCTCTTTGAGTTCTACCAGGAGTATGATGGGTAATGACGTCCTCTCAACGTCACTTCACGCACTATACTCTTCATGTTTAATTACACTATCTAGGTCAGATGGCCAAAACACTAGCACATTTTGAGTAATTGCATTCAACCATTCAAGTACATTGCTGTTTTCCTCTTCAATTCAATGTAAATGTGGCAGCCAACCAGGACTGCAATGGCCAAATTATCACATGATATGAATCCATTTACCACAACTGTGTGTCATCTCATTGTGTTAATCCCCATAAATCCCCAGTTCATATTCTCTGGAGTTGTATTACCGCAATGACTCCTGGCGTGACCCCTACCCCAACCCTGTGCCAGGATGCAATGGGTTGAACCCGTGCCCTTTGCCCATGTTCACTGAGCTGGTGCAGGATGTGGTGGCAGAGGACTGGGAGGCGGAGTGTGGGTTCAGGACAAAATGGTCAAGCACAGGTGAAAAAATAGATGTTTTATATATAAAATATTTATGTATTGATTTCTATTTGCTTCTATTTCCACACATATTTTGGCATCGTTGAGGTTTCAATGCAATATGTTTATTTCTGTATTCACTTTGGGGACCAGTGAGGGGATTTTCAGCACAGACGGTCCAGTTTAAAAATATCAAGGCTTGTGGAAATCTTCCAATTGTTCCACATTCGCATGTACCTAAACAGGATTGCTCGTCTCCCACAGGTGTCGTAACAGCTCTTGCAGTGGCTGTGGGTCTCCTGGCAGTGGCGCTGTTGTTCAGCATAGGAGTGGCAATTCACAGGCGGAGAGCACACTATTCCAGGGAGGTGTAGTGCAGACGACTGTCACACGTGCCAAAAATACAGAAAGGTGATTGTCAGCTGTGGAAACAGCTCTAATAATAATATAATGAGCCGTGTATTTTATTATATTAGATCTTGACTGGTTGAGCATGAAGGGGTCTATGAGCTCTTGTGCGGCTAAAAGCATAAACTATAGTATGTATATGAAATATTTTAACAGAGAAATAAAATATATTCATAAAACACAATTACTTATAGCAGGCATGATTAAAGTTTATTTGATTCACTCTTGGCAGTGTGTACATTACATACTGACATTTACTGTTTATTTACTGTTTAATTCATATGATTTCACATTCGTTGATGTTCGGTTTCTCACTTCTTCTCCGGCTCTGTGGCAGCTGTGGGACAACAGGACACATGATGAGTGTTAGATTTTGAAATAAGCTTTGTGTTATAATATATTTAAGTCAGAATGAATCTTTTTCAAACAGTTCAGCTGTGCAGCTCTTTGTTTTGAGTGTGCATCTAATAACGAAAACGAACCACCCAATAATCATCTCTATATTCGAGAGGCATCTTGCGCTCAGATTAACATCAGCCTCGCTTTTCCCCTTCGTTCTTACCTCGGATGTCCAGCCTGCACTCCACTTCGTCCTTGCCCAGGTCGTTGACAGCCATGCAGGAGTATTTGCCTCCGTCAAAGGCGCTTGGCTTGCGAATGTTGAGGGTCAGCACTCCCTGGTTGTTCTGCATCAAGTACTTGGGATCCTCACCGATGATCATCCTGTTCTTCATCCAGACAATCTTAGGCTACAATGTAGAAATAATGAAATAGGTTAGATGAAGTAAATTTATTTTTTATGCAATGTTTTGTCTTAATCCGGTTACTGTAAAACATGACCTCTGCTGTAGGTAGATCTGCAAACTAGTCCCTCTTACACTTCAGACTTTCATTTGCTTATAACAATTGAAACTGTCAGCCTCCTCCAGTGAATCACACCCCACAGGCTACTTTGGCATGCGTGTTTACCCTGGGGAAGCCTCTGACGGCGCAGCTGATGGCAGTGCTGTAACCGGCCACTACAGATCTGTCAACCAGGGGCTGAGTAAACTTGGGCACACAGGACATGTCCTGCTCCTTGAAGGGGTTTTGTTTGCTCTCCAGGCCTATGGAGAAGTGTGGGAGGACAGGCAAACTTAGTAAAGCCCCATAAATCAGAGCAGAAATGTGGCACATTATACTTGACATCTCCAATGTTAGAGTTAAACACACATACTGTACACCCACGCACACTCACCTGTCTTGACAATGACAGCCGTGTTCTTGCTTTGGCGCGGCTCCTCGCTCAGGCCACAGAGGTTTTCACTGTAGACGCGGAACATGTATTCGTTGCCCATGATCAGATCTGAAGCCGTGCAGTTTGTCCGTCTGTTGTGCTCATAAACAGTGAACCATTCCTGGAGAGAGAAAAAAGCTGATATTATTAGATTTAGAACGAAGACCACAAATTGAGAAAATGCCAAGTGTCTGCATCAAACTCTGGCTGGAGGTAATGTCAGCAATATTGTTGAGCCACAGGCACTAACTGGACATTTTGGCAGGTTACTGTTAGGATGATCTAGGTTTGAAATGCCACCCCTTCTTCCTCTCTCACCTTCGTCTTCATGTCGGCCTTCTGGATGGTGTACCCAGTAATCTCGCAGTTGCCATCATCCGTGGGGGGCTGCCACTCCAGTGCTGCATTGAAGCCCCAGACTTCTATCACCTTCACATTCACAGGAGGTCCAGGCTTTTCTGAAAGGATTAATTGTCAGGTGTTAAGCACATTTCAGTTGTTAAACTGATAAATCAATCTAAGATAGTCCATGATGTGTTTTTCTTCAAATTAATGTCTTCTTAAATGAATAGTTCTCACTCTAAATGCAGACATTGGCCGATAAATAAGCAACATTACAGTACAAGTTGAAGTGGATGTTCACAGTTGCAGAGATCACCTTACCAACAATCCTGATTTCAACTGTGGCTCTGTCCTCCATGTTCTCGATCTGTAGCACCAGTTCATATTTTCCGGAGTGTTCTCTCTCTGCTGAGCGGATAAAGAGGATGGTGTCCACATTTGAGTTACGGATGTTGACCATCTTGGGGTCGATGGGTTGACCATCCTTGTACCAGGTTGCAACAGGGCGTGGCTTACCCTATAAGACACAAAAGCAATGCATTGTTATCCTAAATACAAACACACAACCACTAAGTATGTTATATACTACTGATTATGAACAGGAAAGGGGAATTTTCCTCTTTTCTTTAAAGCTGTCAGGGTGTTTCTCATTAATGTAAGGTAGGTCATGAAAAGGGCACCCCTACAATGAATAATAATGTTTAGAAAATAAGTAAGACTCATAAAAATCAATGCAGCAGAAACAGTGGTATCATCTTTTTTATTAAATGGTTTATACAACTTTTTCACATTTGCAGTAGTACTCCCCAGCACCTGTAAACAGACTTGGATGTGCAAAGGTGATGTAGTTTCCTCATGAAGATATAATAACTGTATTTGTTAAAATGCCTCACAACCCCCCCGAATCCCAAAATGTCCTTCCAGCTCACTGATTTGAAACTTAATTCACAGCAGAGTGACAAACTCTCCAACAACTTTAAACATAAAGGATCACTAACCTGGAAGGGGATGGTCAGGTTGATCTTTTCTCCTACTTTCCTGATGTACTTTGTTCTGAGCTCGCGAGGGAGGCGGATCTTAGGATATTCTAAAGGAGTAAAAAATATTATATTACAATACACTATTGTATTTGACTGTGAATAGTATTAAGAATATGTATGTATAAACTAGCATTAAAACAGTATTAAGTCAACTGAAAATACTAAAAAGCTTTCACTGAATATGATATATAATCCATAAAATATGGTTACATGTGTTCTCTGACTTACGTCTGTCCACAGCTCAACGAGACTGACTCACCCATGATCTCACGGATGGTTACGGGCTGTTGCAGTATAGCAGGAAGACTGCGTCCAGCAATGTTTACTGCCACCACCCTGAAGTTGATCTTCTCTCCCACGGGGAGGCCACGCACCACAAATCCCTGCCTCTCACAAAGTTCATTGTTTGCCACCACCCACTCAGTGTCTGAAATAAAAGAGAATTACATGCAGTAAATCACAGTGAGTGGGACTTGAATCTTACTTACTATGTTTTTGTTCTCTCATTACATATACTCATTGTGGTAGTATACATATCTGTTTTAGACATGAATTCTCTTATTGGGTGTATGACCTGTGCCAGCTATTAAAACAATTTAAGTTATAATTTGATTTGACAATTATTATTTGGTCACCTCCTTCCTTGCAGTATTCAATGACATAGCCATCCAGGCCCCCAGCTCCAATCTTCTCTGGGGCGAGCCACTTCAGGGTGCATGTGCTGTCTGTTACATCGTGCACTGTCAGACGCGTTGGCTCACTTGTTGGGGCTGAAGGTGACAAAGAAAGATTCAAGGGAATCACTAGTTTGGAGACAGGTGAGGCACAAAGGGACGAACAGGGAGTAGCTGAGAAAGATGGTGTAAAAATGGCTGCGATATGTACCAATAGGCATGAAGGGTTTAGAGCTGAGACTTGGCGGAGACATGCCGATGCTGTTGACTGCATACACCCTCATCTCATACATAACGCCTTCAATCATCCTCTTAGCCTCATATGTGGTTGAATCATATACATCAAAGTTGAGCTTTGTCCATCTGGAGGAGCCCTTCTTCTTCCTCTCCATGAGATAACCTGATGGGGAAAAAAGAGAGAAAACATAAACATTGGCAGAATAATATTTTAAACTCATTAAATATGAAAAGGTTAAGAAAGTCCATCCTTTACCTTTGAGTGGTGCACCGCCATCAAATACAGGAGGGTCCCAAATGATGGTGCCGCAGTCCTCTCCCACTGATGTGCATCTGACATTCTCAGGAGGGTCAGGCACATCTAAAATAAGATTACAGTTAGTTTTATAACACATCAGATTGATAGTGAATTTTTAACCACATCACGGCACATCATTTACTATGGTGTTAACTACACACCTGCTGGCACTATACTAAAGATCTTCACTTACCCACAATCTTCACAAACAGCATAGCCTTGTCCTCTCCAGCAGGGTTTGTAACACAGATGGTGTAGTTGCCCTCATCCTCCCTCTCAGCACCCTCTATGACAAAGCAGCTCAGGTCTTTCCTTGACTCCACCCTTATACGGCCTTCAGTGTCTGTAACTGGCTAAAAAACAAGAAATTGCAGCGTCTAAGCACCGTGAAGGACAACTTTTCACTAGTAATTCAAATTAAATAACAAAAGATGCAATCCACAATTTCATGGGGAGGGAAAAACAGCTGTGTTTGGCTGACCTAAATGGGTCAGTGGGTGACAATCACAAAGACATTTATTTTCACAAAACCTGTGGGGTGTTAAACGTGACACTAAAATGCACAGTTGTATTTTCTTTAGCCAGGGTTCTGCAATGACTCTGAGGTGGAAGGCTGAAAATTACAAAGGGGCTCCTCTTCCATAAGCAGAGTTAGCACTCTGGCTAACCAGAGAGGCTTCGGGGAAAATAACAGAGGCATTTGGGCCAATCAGAGGAGCATTTATGGGCCATTTGAGTTGACCAGAGTCGCTTAGAAGCTTAAGCACCATACTGATGTGACACTGGGGCAAAACAAGTAGCATGGAGCTGTCCCGCTAGGGCACAGATGTATCCTCTTTGCAAAAAGTGCACTTTCTGACCAAAGACATTAGGGACAGTCTCTTTCCTTGTACCCCTGTGTCCCCACCTGCCTGTGGGCACAAATGTTTCCATTGGTCGGGTCAAATCTCAACAGAATTTTTTTTTTTCTGGTGAGGTAGCATTTAATTGAAGCCCAATGAAACAAGGAGAGGAGATAGTGAGCACACAACCTCTGGACCACTTGCCTCTGATAAAAGTTTGTATCTGCTATGAGCACACTCGATACGAATGTATTTGA